ATTGTATGTCTGTTTGTTAGACCTTTTTTATTAATAATAACTTATATTCAACCGACTCTACGCTTGCTATTCTCGTGTTCTCTGTTATTTCGGCATGGTTCAAAAATGATCAGTTATTCTGCAGAAAGATTTAAACTTGACGGGAGTTGGACTTTGAGGGAGCATAAGTGGATGCACTCGCTATTCAAATAACAAATGAAGGTCACTTGTGATTAGCTTGCGGTGGTGTATCCCGAGTCAAGAATGGAGGAGGCTTGTTCGGTTCCATTCACCGCTGATTCGCGTTGCGCCTTTAGGGTCACGCCAAGCACGTTCCAGCGTCAGCGCTCTCCATTGGTGCAGACGTTGAAGAACCCACGTGTTTACGGCAAGCATTCTCTCCAGTGATTCATTGTGGATTCAGAAAATGACATGAAACTAACTGTCAGTAGTACGACAGCTTGAATCATACCCATCTGACATACCGCCTATTAACGAGCGTTCTGCCTTATCCCACCCTCCATATCTAGCTTTAAGCACTTGCCTGGGCTGGTTTATTAGTTACGCGATGAACGCACGGCTGAAGAATGCATCCAGAGTTAGAAGCAGTTGGGAGGAAGTATGTAGATATGTTCGCTGGGACAATGATTATATTTGAACAGGGTAAACATCACGAGACCAGCAGTATTTATTGGCGTCATACAAGTTCACCTAATCACCCGTTTATTCCACTCTAGCAGTTGGCCAAATTGTCGATCCTGGCACTCTCAGAGACATTTACCGTGGCAGCTTATGATGGGTCATCGATTTTGATGTGCAGAACAGTAGTAGCGGATGTATTTTGGTGAGTTAAGGCTAAGAAGGTTTCACCCTAACGGCTGCGATCTTCCAGGCCCAGATCCTTAGGAGAGGGGGGGAGTAATGGGAATGCCAGATTAGTAGGAAGAGTGTATTTCATAAAGACGGAAAGAAGAATAGTTTGTAAGAGATTTGACTATCGGAGTGCACGTCCAGCCGTGAGGTGGACTAGCTCCGAAGTGATGTCAAGCGGTAGCCACCGCATTTAGGTCTGTCCA